TGTGTCTGTGTTACTGGGAGATACAGGGTGTTATCGGTTGTGTGTCTGTGTTACTGGGTGACACAGGGTGTCGCACAGTGTCATTGGCTATAATTGTGCTTCACTGATTCACAGAGTGATACTGGGTGTCATTGGGTATGAATGAGTACCACTGGGTGTCACTGGATGTCTCTGGGTGTTGCTGGGGCTGATTAGGTGCTATCAGGTCTCACTGTATGACACTGGAGTCTCTGGACCTTGCTGGATGCCACTGGGGGCCACTGGGTGTCTCTGAGTCTCTCTGTGGGAGCTCTGGGTGTCACTGGGTCTCTCTGGGTGTCACTGGATGTGACTGGGTGTCTCTGGGTGTGACTGGGTGTCTCTGGGTGTTACTGGGTCTGACTGGGTGTCTCTGGGTATCTCTGGGTGTGACTGGGGGTGACTGGGTGTCTCTGGGTTTATCTGGGTGTGTCTGCCTGCCTCTGGGTGTGAGTGGGTCTCTCTGGGTGTTACTGGGTCTCTCTGGGTGTCGCCGGGTTTGACTGGGTGTCTCTGGGTGTGACTGGGTGTCTCTGGGTGTCTCTGGGTGAATTTGCCCCCCTTGCCCCCCTGTGAATTGTCTCCTTTCCCGTATTCCCAGGTTCCTGATAAACATTACGAGGATATCGACAGGATCCGGAGACGGAAGCTAAATGTCCGGGAGGTGGCAGGAGGAGCTGCTGCCGTTCTCCCTCCCGACAGGACGGAAAATCGACCGGGATCGCCCTCGTCACCGGGAGCACCGACCTCTGACCCCGTGCCCACACAGGCTGCATGTCCCGGGGCAGTGGAAGGGAGTGTGAGGGTCACACGGGGCGATGCCACCTATCAGGAGGTGAGGACCCACTGACACTGTCTAATGAACAGAATGCCAACTATCGAGGGGCAGGAGGAACAGTTACCCCTGGGAAGGGAAACGGGCAGCGTCATTGTGTGTGGGGAACCCAGGGCCCCCTTCACTCACAGTGACTGGGAGACACTGGGTGCCTCTGGGTGTCACTGGGTGTCTCTGGGTGTGACAGGGTTTCTCTGGGTGTCACTGGGTGTCTCCAGGTGTCTCTGGATCTCTCTGGGTGTGACTGGGTCTCTCTGGGTGTCACTGGGCGTCTCTGGGTGTGACTCGGTTTCTCTGCGTGTCGCTGTGTGTCTCTGGGTGTGACTGGGTTTCTCCGGGTGTCACTGGGTGTGACTGGGTGTCACTGGGTGTGACTGGGTGTTTCTGGATGTCTCTGGGTCTCTCTGGGTGTCTCTGGATGTCACTGGGTGTGACTGGGTGTCTCTGGGTGTGGCTGGGTGTCTCTGGGTCTCTCTGGGTGTGACTGGGTCTCACTGGGTGCCACTGGATGTCACTGGGCGTCACTGGGTGTCTCTGGGTGTGGCTGGGTGTCTCTGGGTCTCTCTGGGTGTCACTGGGTGTTATTGTTTGTGTGTCTGTGTTACTGGGTGACACTGGGTGTTATCGGTTGTGTGTCTGTGTTACTGGGAGACACAGGGTGTTATCGGTTGTGTGTCTGTGTTACTGGGTGTCACAGGGTGTTATCGGTTGTGTGTCTGTGTTACTGGGAGACACAGGGTGTTATCGGTTGTGTGTCTGTGTTACTGGGAGACACAGGGTGTTATCGGTTGTGTGTCTGTGTTACTGGGAGACACAGGTTGTTATCGGTTGTGTGTCTGTGTCACTGGGACACACTGGGTGTTATCGGTTGTGTGTCTGTGTCACTGGGAGACACAGGGTGTTATCGGTTGTGTGTCTGTGTTACTGGGTGACACAGGGTGTTATCGGTT